GAAGGCATAGGAAAGCTACGGACTTCTTTTAATTACATATTTACATTGTATACTTTCATAAAAGTTGGAGCATATTATTATATTGTGTATGTTTTATTATACGAATCCAATATATAATAGGACATTAATAATAATTACATAATTTATCACCCACTAAAATAAAGAAAAATACTAGGAATCATGCAAAGGAGAAATAGATTTAAGATGTCATGCGAGTCTAGCCGCTCGAGTCAAAGCTCGATTGGAGTTCGAGTTTGACTGAAGTCGAGCGGCTCGAGCACGAAGTCGAGTCGAGGTTGAGCCAATATTTTACATCGTCGAGCGGCTCGATATATATATATATATATTAAATTACTAAAATACACCTTATGCATATATTTAAATAGTAATTCAAATGTTTAATGGTAATTTCACCTAAAAATTTTCAAGCCGAAGTGGAGTCGAGCTCGAGCATTTGATTTTGGCTCGAGCTCGAGATATTGTATTTTCTTATCGAGTCGAGCTCGAGCCTCATAAATCGAGTTCGAGCTCAAGCATCCAAAAAAATTTAATCATGCTCGATAAGGCCAATGTTCGACTCGGATCGGCTCGGTGCACCACTTCATGCCGCATCAGCTCATGAGGATATTAACTATTATGAATGGATGTGGACACAAATGGAAGAAAATTATTACAGACTGTAAAGCAAGGTCCAAAAGAAAAAATAAAACACAAAAAAATACAATTAATAATTACAGCTTTTCATATTACAGTTAGTACTTAGTACATTTTCTCCTTAAAAAAAATAGACTTGAAAAGGTAATCACATTTTTTCCCACCGACCGTCACACGCACACACTGAAAAGGAAAAATCTCTAGATATAGGAAAAACAAAAAATAAAAGAAGGCAAGGTATTTCTATTTGCCCAAATATTACAAGATTGGTAAAATACCCGTGTATTGTACAGATATTTGTTATAAAAATAATATTTAAAATTATAAATATAGGTAAAATTATTTAATTATTTTGTATGTATTATATATATGTCAAATCAAAGTTCATCAAGACATGATTAATTTGATATATTATATATAAAACATTACTAAAATAATTATTAGATTTTAAATATATTTGTTATTTAAGTTAGTAAATTTAATATAATTTTAAGAGAAATATAAGAAAAAAAAAAAGAAAGGTTGGGAAAAGAAATTATACCTTATAAACCTCGTGTACAATAGGAAATGATGTTAAATCATAATTAATGTTATTAAAAGGGATCATAAATATCTAGCATATTTATGATTATTCCAAACCTAGTTACTTATGGATTGAAAGTAAATTAAAACCCATCCAAACCAAACAACAAACTTAAAAATTTGACACATAAGATTTCGAAGCGTGCAAGTCTGCCACTTAGGCTCAACACATTTGAAAATTATATATAGGGAGATTTTTTATAAAATAAAATAAAATATTTTTTTTTTAAATTTATAAATACTATTAATTCTAATTTAGATGATACTCGTCATCAATAAAGATTCAGTAGTCCTATACTAGATATTTTTTGAACTCGCAATATAGAATGGCCTCGATAGATAAATTATTTAGTTTATAGACGATATTAATAATTTTCAGTAAAAATTGACAAGTAGTTTAATTTCTATTATACAGATAAATGTAATTTTTTATTTTTTTCTTAGAATATGAATGTTAAAACAAACAGGATTAAGAAATATATGATTTCATAGAAGTATGAAAATTAAGAATAAATAAATAATATTAAATTTGAAAAAGTGAGAGATTTCATTTTGATTGTAATATTCAATTTGAAAAAGTGAGAGATTCCAAAAATAAATTTTAGGGCTATATTACTAACTAAGTTTACAAAACAAATTAAGGGTTATATTAGTAAAAGTATTATAGAATTACCCAAATAAGATTTTCACTATTTATGAATTGTACGAACCTAAAATTATTATTTTAGAATAACATTATTTTTTATCCAAAAACTAAACTACGAAGCATAATTTTCCGGCAAGTAGAATTTCGAAACACGCGAGCTTGCCTCTTAGGCTAAGAGCATTTCGAAATTATATATTAGGGGATAGTGCCATTTGAAAGTAATTTTTGGATTTGATTTATTGAATAAGCAGAATTAAGCTTGAAAAAAGTTAATTAGTTGGAAACTCAAATTTGA